AAATATGACATGTGGGGTTCCTCAAGGCTCCATCTTGGGGCCTCTTCTCTTTAACATCTACATGCTACCACTGGCTCAGATAATGAAAAACAACAAAATAAGTTACCATAGCTATGCGGATGACACGCAAATTTACGTAACAATTTCACCAGGAGACTATGCTCCAATTAAAACACTGAGTAAGTGCATTGAACAAATCAATGACTGGATGTGTCAGAACTTTCTCCAATTAAACAAAGATAAAACTGAGGTAATGGTTTTTGGAGCCAAGGCAGAACGTATAAAAGTTAGCGCTGAGCTTCAGTCCGCAATGTTCAAAACAACAGATAAAGCCAGAAATCTAGGTGTAGTCATGGACTCTGACCTGAGTTTCAACAGTCACATTAAAACAGTTACTAAATCAGCCTACTATCACCTAAAGAATATATCTAGGATTAAAAGACTAATGTCACAGCAGGATTTGGAAAAACTTGTCCATGCTTTTATCTTCAGTAGACTCGACTACTGTAATGGTGTCTTTACAGGTCTCACTAATAAATCTATTAGAAAGCTGCAGCTGATTCAGAACGCCGCTGCTCGAGTCCTCACTAACAGGGCTGGCCTGGCCCGTAGCACTGGCGTTATAGATGTTCGCCTAGGGCGCCAGATCTGTGGAGGCGCTGCGCTGGTAGAAAAACATTTTTGACCATTGGCGCTCATCCTAATTTTCGGCCTTGATGTAACAATATTCATAATTAAGTAAATGTAACACCCTTTTCACCCCGGTTACACTTTTCATTTGCCCTGTACGATGGGCGCTGTAAGTGATGAAAATGGGGGATGTTGGCTTATCTGGTGCCCCTAGCTCACAGCCAAAGAGCGAGTGAGCGTGGGAGCGAGCGAGGGAGAAAGGGAGGGTGCACCGGTACCAGCGCTGTTGTTATTAGACTCTGGTGCTAGCTGCTCTAATGGATATAAGAAGAAGATGTTTCTACAATAATGTGCATGGAGAGTCCTCTCCAGTCAGACTGAGAGGCTGATAACTACAGCTCAGTGAGGTAAAGGACTCTCAGTGTTTAGATAGTTCACTTTAGTCTAAGTTGTCTCAGTGGGTCTCAAACGTTTTGATCACAATTTATGTAAACAAATATTTCCAAGGCACTCCTTTATAATTATTGGGATAAAAAGGTTTGAAATCATTTCAATGTATACTATAGGACAGTAAACCAAAATTATCGTTTTAAACTGGAGAGATTAAAAAATATACACGAATAAATAAATGTTAATAGGTCAAATAAGATATGAAAGAACAACAAAAATAAAATAACTTACATTTATTTGTTATTGGCTATGGTAGGTGTTTAGAGTCGGCGAGATCCTGATAATTTATTCCGGTAAATTACTCTGACCTACTAATTGACCTGACCGAAGTTATTGAGGCTATGTAAGGTTGCTGCTTGGCTCAGATCCACCAACGTCAGCAAGATCTCACCTCTATTAACTCCCCGAAGAACCAGGTTCAATTAACTGCTGTTTCAATTCAGACAACTCTTTTTTAATCTGTTTAAGCGATCCCGAAGGATTTTGATATCAGTAAATGGAGTGTGTTCCTACCTAAGTGTGTGTGGCAGGGTGCAGTCTTACCTTTGAAGCAGGAGAGGAGAGCACAGATTTTCTTTTAGTTGTCCCAATCCAACAGGTGAGATCAGTTTATTTGAAGAAAAATAGGTCCAAAACTAATACAGGGTTTTTACCTTTTAACACATTATAATCATACGCAACATATCATGCTGTGGTTATATTTTTATATAAAACCTTAATTCATATTTCTTATCTATCCAAGATCTAAATAAAGCCATTAGTTATAAAATTCCTGTACGTCCTAATAACGCCTTCCAGGATAGATCTAAATAAAGCTATTAGGTCTAAGATTCCCGTACGTCCTAATAACGCCTTCCAGGTAGATCTAAATAAAGCTATTAGGTCTAAGATTCCCGTACGTCCTATTAACGCTTTCCAGGATAGCTTTACCGAGAGCCATTTACCCAGCCCTGAGGGCCAGAGCCTACCGGGAGAGAGTATACCAGGGGTTTCCCCCTCTCTCTCGCGCTCTCTCAAAAAAAACAGTCTCTTTATGCTCAAAACCGGATCGAAACCCCAAAAAACACCTCCTCTATTCCCAACCAACATCTTCTATTGGCTATGGCCTAAGACACACCTTCCCATGTTTGTGTAAAAAAAGCTAAAACATGACTAGACATTTTCTATGGCTATGACATAACAACCTTTTTGAGGCCTCAATGTGTTTCTCCTTAAGTCAGGAGCCACCCTCCCTGTGCACCCTTGTGAGAGGAGAGGGAAAAAACTGCCTACTCTCTTATCAGAGAGTAATGCATAAATCATTTATAGGTCTTACACTCAACTTAACAAACCACTGGTGTTTTGTTTATGCTGTAAATATAGAAAAACCTAAAATATGAAGTATTTTCATTGTGGGTTATACAAGAATATAATTGATTATATTTGATCATAACTTTCGTTTTAAGTATTCAACATACTATAGAGCTCTCAACATAGGTTATTGGTTATGTTCACCTACTTATTTGATTATTAAAATGTAAACCGATCTTTTTCATATGGGTGTTTAGAGTTGTACCCCCTAGATCTAGTAGTAATTCTGCTCAAAGTGCACCAGATTGAAGCATTTTACTTTAAAATGTCCAAAAAATTCTTCCCGGGGGGGCATACCCCCGGACCCCTCTAGGATGTGACGTCCACCCCCCATTCCACTGTGTGTTCCTTGGATACTCTATTGATCTTTATATGTTATATTGTACGATTCTCTGGCTTTGGCGCCAGCTCAAATTACATTTACATTTGGAAAGAGAGAGGCAGTGTTTCGGCATTGATGATGGAATATAACGTAAATGTTTATCCCCTCTTCTCCTTGTGAAAGATCCAACAATCTTTCAGGGTCAGACATCACGTCGGTTACCTGCAAGTTTCTTTGATTCTTATTACAATGCTCATTAAGATATTCCTTTACATTGAGGAGAAGACACCACTATGGTCCCCAAGCTCTCAGTAATAACACAACTATTCTCCATAAAGTCCTCAAGATGCTGAAGGGTCAAACTGAAACTTGTAGACAATGTTGGGCATGGAGGGACGAGGGGACCTCAAAGAAAGGTCAGTTCTCATCAACCAAATATCTGCTGCCTGAAGGAACTCTTCACAGTGGACGCTAGAACCAAAGTGACGGGGGACGAATGGTGTAGTGAGGCTCTCTTATATTCATCTCATTCATAAGTCATATCCAGAGGTGGAAGAAGTACTCAGATATTGTACTTTAGTAAAAATTAGAAATACCACAGTATAGGAATACTCTGTTACAAGTACAAGTCCTGCATTACAAATGTTACTCAGGTAAAAGCACAAATGATTAACATCAAAATATACTTAAAGTAGTAAAAGCACCATTTCAGAATAAAATATATTATATGTTATAGTCCAGGTCCAAACTAAAGACTGATTATGTTTTATATCGTTTATCCAGATCTGCGAAGTAACTTAAGGTGTTAAATAAATGTAGTGGAGTAAAAGTACAATATTTACCTCTGAATTGTGGTTGGGTAAAAGTACAAAGTAGCAGAAAATGGAGATACTCTCGTAAAGTACACAAACCTCAGAATTGTAGCAGTACAGCACTTGAGTAAATGTACTTAGTTACTTTACACCACTGGTAATATCAATGCAAAAACAAAATGGCACCTTAACTCATGTCATTAGTCAGTGCATGGTCTGGTAAAGGAACATATACGATGGTGATGGGCAACTGCGAATTCCAACTCCTCTCCATATTTGAAATATGAAGTTGAAGAGTACGCTCTGACCCAGCTGCAGCATCCTGGTTGTGAAATACTTCATGTTGTTTGCATCAGTTCCAGTAACACGGTGGAGGGGGATTGTAGTGATGGGACTCTGCGTTGATGTAGCAGCTGGTTTAGGTCTGGATCTCTGGGATGTTGGGACCTCTGGAGTGGAGCTGCTGGGTGAGGATCTTCATGTTGACCTAGTGGTTTGACCCAGGAGAGCGGAGCAGCCGGTGTCAGCGGTCTCACCTGGATCATCCTGAAGTGAAGCTGGAACCATAAAACAAGGAGGAGGTTCAGTGGAGACAGGTTTCATCAGGAGGGTTTCATGTTTCCTGTTGATGTTCTGCTGCTGATGCAAAAGAGTTCACTGTTAAAGTAGTTCAATGTGAGAGGAGGTTAAAGACGGTTGGACCTGTTGGTCTGTTTAAGCTGCTCTTCATGAATCATCCACCAGAGGGCAGAGTGTGAGAGTGACTGCTAGTTTCCTCTGTCACTTCAAATAACTGCATCAGGTCACATCAGGTGAGGTGAGTTGGTGTCAGGTTGAAAAGTGTCTCCATGTTTGTTCCTAATGTTAAATACACGAGTTATTTAAACATCATGTCATCCAGGAATAAAGCAAGATTATACATCTATGATTTCAAGGATATGTTAGATCATGATGAATGGATACCTTTATAATATATGGACACATCTGTTTTACTTCTTGATATCTTTAATAATAACTTGTGTTTATTAATAATGTGTTTCTTCAACAATATCAGTAGATTTTATTTGAAAGGAACATGAAGACGTGAGGCAGGATAAAAGTTGAAGGAAACTCACGTGACAGCGGTTGAAAGAAAATGATGTAGAACTGGTTTGACTGAACAGCCTGTTGATATGTTCCACCCTACTTCGACTCAAATACAACAACCATTTCCTTCTTGAATGCATTTGATGAGCTTTTAGATTTTGACGATATAAAACACCAAGAAAGATGAGCTTTAAAAGAAAAGAATGTATTTAACCTCTTGTGTTTGTCTTCAACAGATACCTGGACAAAGTCATCGTCCTGAACTGAAACCAAAGAGCATTTCCCTCTGAAAGACATCCTGACTCCATCTGCTGGTGAATACATGACATTACTGCATTCCTGCTGTTTATCATTCATCCTGTGACAGAGGTGAGAGAAAACCAGAGACTGTATAAAGGAGGACACCAAAGAAGATTTAGAGATTGTTGAAGACGCCATCAGAGGAGGTGAGATCTCTGCTGGGAAACACACACTTGGAGAGAATAAAGAAGAGAAGTGGAGAGACTGTGAGTTGCTGAGTGCTGAAATATCTTTATGTTTCTTTTAACTACATCAACAGATTTGAATTGAAATAAACAATTTGATTTCCAGCAGGATGGAGGTTAATTAATTAAACTAAGATAATGAGACATCTGTATTTTTTTTAAAGAATTTGAGGCTAAATACATTTAACTTTCATTTCCTGAAAATCCTGTTTTTAAAAACCTTTTACTCTCCTATTTATACATTCTAAATATATGTAAGACATTAACTGAACATGCGTTGTTAAAAAACAACTAGATCATTATTTATTTTGCAGGGGTTTGTCTCTAAAAAGGAAATCCAAAAAGTGTTGAAATGAACTCATGGTTTGATCCTTGATACCAAGGAGAGGGTGAAGATATGATCACATGAATAAATGAGAGTGAAAACGTGTCAGGAAGAAAAACACATACACTCGAGTTGATAGACTTTAGACTATATCAGGATTATGATTTCTACATTAACTGAGATAAATGTTCAACATACAATGAAGTTTGCTCTCATGCTTTGAAGAAGTATTCACAAAATGAATTGAACATATTTGAGCCACTTTGACTTTTGTTGACCGATAAAACACGATAAACAAATGAAAACTGAACAACAGCTCTGGTTCCTAACAATTCACATGGAGAGAGTTTATCTTTAGTTTCCACCCGTCTCATTGAAGGTCCCGCCCTCCCCGGCCTTTGCAGTCTCACTTGGTGTTCAGCTCCTCCCATTGGTTATCTCAGTCTCCACCTGTCTCATTGAAGGTCCCGCCCTCCCCGGCCTTTGCAGTCTCACTTGGTGTTCAGCTCCTCTCATTGGTTATCTCAGTCTCCACCTGTCTCATTGAAGGTCCCGCCCTCCCCGGTCTTTGCAGTCTCACTTGGCGTTCAGCTCCTCTCATTGGTTATCTCAGTCTCCACCTGTCTCATTGAAGGTCCCGCCCTCCCCGGCCTTTGCAGTCTCACTTGGTGTTCAGCTCCTCTCATTGGTTATCTCAGTCTCCACCTGTCTCATTGAAGGTCCCGCCCTCCCCGGCCTTTGCAGTCTCACTTGGTGTTCAGCTCCTCCCATTGGTTATCTCAGTCTCCACCTGTCTCATTTAAGGTCCCGCCCTCCCCGGTCTTTGCAGTCTCACTTGGTGTTCAGCTCCTCTCATTGGTTATCTCAGTCTCCACCTGTCTCATTTAAGGTCCCGCCCTCCCCGGTCTTTGCAGTCTCACTTGGTGTTCAGCTCCTCTCATTGGTTATCTCAGTCTTAGCTGATAGCCTTCTCGTTTGCTGATTGGTTGACGCGTCACTTTTACAAAGGTAACATACTAACAACAGAACAACCCATCCCATTTCTCTCTGTTTGGTCATTTGAATCTTTCATATTTACTTTCCACCTGTCTCCTTTAAGGTCCCGCCCTCCCTAGCGGATAGATCATGTGACTTCATTATGATGACTGTCCTCTAAATCCACACAACTGCAGGCCGTGAAGGAAGGAGAAAGCACAAGGCCCATTTTTATTTACTAATCATATTATTAGAATTATTTCAGTTTAAATTGTTGAAAAAGCTCGACTCTTTATTGTAGTTTTAAAAAGGACATATTATTCTCATTTCACGTATTTGGATGTTGTGCTTTTACTGTGACATGTTTAAATGCTCTAATGTTCAATAAGTGCTATATTTGTCTCTCACTGCCATCGATTCTCCTTCCATTGGAATGAAGATATAACAATGAGAGTTTTTTTATTTCTAATCATTTATCAGTTGTAAGAGTTTGGTGGAGCTGATAATTTATTCCGGCAAATTACTCAGACCTACTAATTAACCTGACAGAAGTTATTGAGTGTATGTAAGTTTACTGCTTGGCTCAGATCCACCAACAAGCTCTCACCTCTATTAACTCCTGAAGAACCAGGTTCAATTAACTGCTGTTTCAATTCAGACAACTCTCTTAAATCTGTTGAAGCGATCCCGAAGGATTTTGATATCAGTAAAGGAGGTGTGGCCCTACCTAAGTGTGAGTGTGGCAGGGTGCAATCTTCCCTTTGAAGCAGGAGAAGAGAGCGCAGATGTCTTTTAAGTTATCCCAATCCAAAATGTGGGATCAGTTTATTTGAAGAAAAATAGGTCCAAACTAATACAGGGTTTTTACCTTCTCTCTCTTTACAACATTATAATCATACTAAACCTATCATGCTGTGATCATGTTCTAATATGAAACTTAATTCACAGTTTTACATTCATTACATTAAATTCTAATTTCAACTGCCCAATTCAGTTGTGATTTTTAAATCTCCTGATAGAATTTAGAGGCATTTCCTCATAAAAGACCGGTGATAATAAAAAGTACATTCAAACTTTCATTCACCAAATTAATTCTCATCAATTCCAAACCTATGTTTTCCGACACAGGTGGCGGGAATAACATTCACAAACACATATGATCACACATATGATGTTTGTCAATTTAAAAGATAATTTTGCAAGTTAAAAAATAAAAATGTGTCGTAAAACTGTGAAGTAACACTTTGTGTGAAACCGCTCAATGAACTACATCTCCCGTCTCGCACCAACACCAAGACGGCCGTCACGTTGAAACATTTCACTCCTTTCTCTCAGAATGAGACGGAAAGTATTAAAAGAGGTGAAAATCACTCCAAGTCTGGGCACGTTGAGAGCTGTGCACACACACAAGGGGAGTTAGTGGGTTCCTAAGAGCCAGCATGCGGGACCGGGACTCTGGGATTTGTAGTCTTTCTAGTTGCGTATTTTTCATAGTCTTATATTTCAACAGTTTTACGACAAACTGAGACTTTTTTGACACGGAAATTATTTGTTAAGATTGACAAACATCATATGTGGAATTCATGGCACAATTCAAACGGGATCGAAAGATAATCTTTCTCTCTCCATTGACTTCAATACATACTTTTTCTGAAATAAGGTCCCATGGGGCGGAAGCAGATGGGCGGGACTTCGCCTCTCTATATGAATATGTGATGCCTGGTGCCACGCCATGTACTGTTCCTTACTTGGTATTCTTAAATGTTAAAAATGTATCAAATCCTACAATGTAGTTGAAAAGTTGTGCATGCATAAGTGAGTTTTGTAAGTGAATAATCTTTGGGGGAAGGGAGGAACATGAAGACGTGAGGCAGGATAAAAGTTGAAGGAAACTCACGTGACAGCGGTTGAAAGAAAATGATGTCAAACTGGTTTGACTGAACAGCCTGTTGATATGTTCCACCCTACTTCGACTCAAATACAACAACCATTTCCTTCTTGAATGCATTTGATGAGCTTTTAGATTTTGACGATATAAAACACCAAGAAAGATGAGCTTTAAAAGAAAAAGAATGTATTTAACCTCTTGTGTTTGTCTTCAACAGATACCTGGACAAAGTCATCGTCCTGAACTGAAACCAAAGAGCATTTCCCTCTGAAAGACATCCTGACTCCATCTGCTGGTGAATACATGACATTACTGCATTCCTGCTGTTGATCATTCATCCTGTGACGGAGGTGAGAGAAAACCAGAGACTGTGTAAAGGAGGACACCAAAGAAGATTTAGAGATTGTTGAAGACGCCATCAGAGGAGGTGAGATCTCTGCTGGGAAACACACACTTGGAGAGAATAAAGAAAATAAGTTGGTGAGTCCTGCTCTAGAAATAACTTTAATACCAAATGGCTGAGAAAACCGCTCTTGTTGAAAGTTTCCTGAGCTGCCATGTGTGTTCAGAGACTTTCAGAGATCCTGTGTCTCTGGGCTGTAACCACAGCTTCTGTTCGAGCTGCCTGCAGACATTCTGGGAACAAAGTAAGAACAACAACTGTCCCATTTGTAAAAGAAAGTCCTACAAAGATCCTGTGGTGAACTTTGCACTGAAGGAACTGTCTGACTCCTTTGCTGAGAGACAGAAAGCTGGATCATCTGAGACAGAGAAAGGAGAGAAGAAGGTGGAGGTGGTGTGTAGTAAACATCCAGAAGAGCCTAGATTGTTCTGTATGGATGAAGAGAGAGCTGTGTGTCCTGTCTGTGACTTTTCTCTCCACCAGGGTCACAAGGTGGTTCCTGTAGAACAAGCAGTCAGTGAGCTGAAGGACCTGCTGACATCTGACTTAGAGTCTCTGCAGGACAAGAGGGACAAATACAAAGGAGTGGAGACAACATACAAGGAAGTGATTCAAGTGTCCGAGAAGCAGCTGCTGTCCACAGAGAGGCAGATCAGAGCAGAGTTCATCAAGCTCCATCAGTTCCTGAAAGAGGAAGAGGAGTCCAGACTGGCAGCTCTGAGGGAGGAAGAGGAGCAGAAAGGGAAGACTATCAGCAGAGAGATGAAGAGCATTCAGGAGCACATCTCCTCTCTGTCACACAGTATCTCTGCTGTTGAAGAAGAGCTGCAGAAACTCAACGTGCCCTTCCTCAGCAGTTATAAAGCCACTCAGAGCAGAGCCAGAGTCCAGAGCTCACTGTCAGACCCACAGCTGCTCTCAGGAGCGCTGACAGATGTGGCCAAACACCTGGGCAACCTGTCCTTCAGAGTCTGGGAGAAGATGAAGGACCAGGTCCACTTCAGTCCTGTCCTTCTGGACCCAAACACTGCACACAACCGGCTCTCTCTGTCTGATGATCTGACCAGTGTGAGATGTGGAGACACATATCAGCAGCTTCCTGATAATCCAGAGAGATGCACTCACTATGCTAGTGTTCTGGGCTTTGAGGGCTTCAGCTCAGGGAAACACAGCTGGGAGGTGGAGGTGGGAGATCATCCTGCCTGGAATATAGGTTTGACTAAAGAGTCAGCTGACAGGAAGGGAGAGATACCAGGTGTCTCACCAGAAGATGGAATCTGGTGTTTATGGCATGGCGATGGAGGATACTCTAATGGTGCTGGTGAGACTGTCAGAGTGGAGAAGAATCCCCAGAGGATCAGAGTCCAGCTGGACTATGACAGGGGGGAGGTGTGCTTCTACGACCCTGAACACATGACTCCCATCTGCACTCTCAGAGACACTTTCACTGAGAAACTCTTCCCATATTTCAGTATTGGAGAAGCTGGTGATGCTAAAACTGCTGATATCAAAATCTGTGAGTGAGATTCCTCTGTGATGCTCAGGAGTGTTGGTTCAGACTTTATTCTGACTTCACTCTCCGTCTACATCTCTTTGGAACATTCAAGAACATAATCAACAGATGATGAGAATTTAATCTTTGCATGACATTTTTACGCATTATAATCAAAGAGTCAGTCAAAGACAAACAAACAACTTGATTGTTTATTGAGTTTATTTTGCATCAAACTTTATTACAGTGTGTTTATAGTTTTCATTTGACTCATTTAATGATCGATGAATGTTCACATTTTTAATCCAAGAATCTTTAAATGGATGAATTTATTTTCTGTTTTTCTTTGTAATGGATGAAATGAGAATGTTTGATTAAGTTTTGTGTGAATTCTTGAAGAAATGTAAGAAGTCTGTATATCGTGCTGAAACTTCATGACATCAACCAAACTAAGAATCAAAGCTGTCAGTTCTCCTTTGATCTAGTTTCTAGTCAAACATCACGTTATAGCAGTATACGTTATCAGTTTAACTTTTTTATATCTTTGGGTCTTTTGATGAATTATTTTGAGATATGTTGTTTTACTGCAGGGAGCAAGTCATTTAATACATTTATTTGAATTCATTATTTCATTCTTACAATGTTCTTTCGTGACATTTTCAGTCCTCTATAGATGGACAATAACATTCATGGTAATTGAAAATATCAATTTCTAATCAACCTAGAGGGAATAACAGCTGTGTATAATTAAGTGTAGTATTTGTAAAGCTGCTTCAGATATCTTGTGATTAAATAACCAGCTGTTTAATTCAGAAATGTCTCTGAGGTTGATTTCTGTTTCTTTGGTACATCTGTCAAAAAGCCATGTGACAAATTACAGAGACTATAAATGATGAAAGACAATTGTTCAACAAACCTTTACAATAAAAAATAAATAATCTGAATATCTTAATGATCTAATCTCTTTTTATTTGTTGCATTGCATCCCTTCAAACATCTGTTCTAACCTTTACATTCATAGATGCCAAACTCATGAAATCTGTTTGCTTGTGTGAAGTCATGTGACGATGAACCTGCTGTAAACAAAGAAGCTCCCACCCTGATGAAGGACACTCAGCAGAAAACATGTGAGGGGTAAAGCATGGCATACTGGAGCTGTGCAACGTGTTTGGTTTGATGGAGTTGTTTTGATTCTCTCTTAGAAACTGTCAGGAGTCACATTCACATTATACAACTCCACTGCAGCATTATAACAAATACAAAGTAGCTTCAACACTAAAAATAGTATTGCATTACAATAATTTCCTGCAAAATACATCTTTAACCCTTGTGTTGCAACCAGGGGCGCCGTAAGGGGGTGAAAAGTTAGGACGATTCTAAGGGTACGTGACTGACAGGGGCCCCAAAATGTTTAGAACATTAAGAAAAAAAATGTAAGTAACCTTTCATCAATCCTCAATAATTAACATTAATAGAACGTTATATTGATAAATTACTCACTAAACTTACGATTCATTTAATTTATTTTCTTCCAAAAGTTAATTACCCAAAGCCTCTGTACACCCCCTTCTATTTACATGTAATGGTTTGGTCCTGCCTCCAAACGTGGTGCGGCACTGGTAACACCGGCACTTGCAGAGAGTGAAAGCATGTGAGGAGGGATGCTAGCCTACATACTGTGTTGTACCATGTTTCAACGACCAACAAAGTCAGGCTCTAAGAAAAGGAGAGAAAGACAAGAGAGAGGGACTAAAGGGCGACAGTATGTCACCCAGTTTTTCACAAGAAAAGGTGGGTGTGGTCCATGAGTGGTGGAAATTAGTCTGTTAGTTTTTTTGTTTACTAAGCTGACATTAAGTACTGTTAATATCTTTACAGAAAATTCAGAGGTCTTTCATTTCACTGCTCTTTTAGCTGATATTTAAAGGTATGGTAGGTAATTCACTTCAGAAACACTTTTTGTTATATTCCATGGAACGCTCTTAACATCCCGATAGCAATGAATACATTAAATGCTTAAATGTCATCAGTGGAAGCCGTGGCGCTGTAAAAAGCACGACCAATCATCTGAGCCGGCCCGGCTAAAGTAACTGGATGGCCTACCTGCCTGTCAGCCTTCCATCTGTGCACAAACTGATCTCGTGCCCTCATTGGTCATGTGCGCGTTCGTGTGTGTTGGAGGAGGGGCTCTGTGAGGAACTCTGAAGGAAGGGGCCGATTTTTTTCGGTTGTGTATTTTCAAATTCTAGCGCACTCGAGCTGGTTTCTCCATTCTTACCTACCCTACCTTTAATACATGCAGGCACATTTTTAGCGCCTATTCATACTAAATCAGTTGTCCCTCCCCCTGGTGCCAGGACCAACAGATCCATCTTTAGGCTCAGCAGCCCTGTCCCCCCATAAGGCTGAACCTGAACCAGCTTTTCTCCCAACTGAAGGAGGTGAGCAGCATTGTGTTGAATGACATGTCACTTAACATATCTGAAGGGAGACTGGAATACAAAATATATATATAACAAAAAGCTAACATCTAATTTCAAACACAGTATTTTCCCACACAGCCAATGATCTATATAAAACAAAAAACTGCTTTTAGTCTATTTAGGATGATGGACAGTTTGAAGCATTGAGTGATCAGTCTGTATTAGGTAAACAAAATGTTAATCACCGACATTTTGGTTATGATATTAATACTAATGTTATTATATTAAAGCAGGGGTGGGGAACCTCCACAACATTGATTGGTTTAAATTGTGTGCAATGCTTTTGTATTTTTCCCCTTCGATTCGGAGAAACAAATGTTTTTTCGGAGTAAAGGATGGCAGAAGACACTACACTACCCAGAATCCCCAGCTATCGTTTAGGACTACACCATGTACTCTGTTTGACAAACCCCGTGATAGTCCTCAAGCTCTGTGATTGGAGAGTGTGCTCCGAGGGTTACGCCGAGCCTCGAACAGCACTTGAAATGGGATGGAATCACGGCAGACTGTCCAAAACTGGATTTGAACGGGTCCCCCCCCTCCCCCACCCCGTCCCCAGAACTACACATGCTGGCTATTCTGTTTCGCAACATGCTCTCTATCTATGGCACGTCTCTACTGGGAGTTGTAGTTTTAAAAGACGTTTTCGTATTTCCCATAATAAGAAATGGCCAGTATTAAACTGTGTACATCCCTGGAGGTTTAGGGGATAGGAAACACTCAAATTTAAAACATATAATTAATAAATGGGTGAAAATTGCTTGTGCCCATAATGGGCAGCATTAATATATATACACACATGCCAGCTAAGGTCAGAAGAGCTTTATTTAACAGCTGGTCTTATGTTTGTGACCCCTGTTGTTAATTGATAACATTACATTACATTACATTAATTGATAAGCCTGAAACATGCACTTGTTAAGGTTCAGAGGCACATTTTGCAAATATGGCAGTAGCCATCGATCAGCTTAAGATAAGATATACTTTATTGATCCCAAGTTGGAACATTTGCGTTACATCAGCATGTGTAACAGTTGTATGCAGTGGTGTTTATTTGTAAATCATTTAGTATAATCACACAAATTCTGTGTTCTTTATTTATTGATTGTACCTGACAAGGCCGGAGATGAAATATCTACATACATCTTATAAGAGTATAATACATTATGTATAATATCAGTTAAAATAAGTGCTTCAACATAGTTAACATTGCTGGAGGTATGCACAAATATTGATAGATGTCTTGTAATGCACTATTGAGGAACCTGCGACCCAAGTTTTTCATTCAATGCAGAACTACACCATAGTTGTGTAGGCCTATATGATATGTCAATAAACCTTAGAAAATCTTGAAATCTTGAAAGGGATGTGCAAAATAGTCATTATATACAGTCTTTAATGAACTATTAGTAGAGAATAACGAGTAATGAATATACTTTATAGGGATCCTATTCATATCTAATGATAAAAATAATGAAATTCAATAACATGCTTTAACCACTAGGTGTCCCTTTATATCAGCTGTGCACCGTTATGGTGTAAATACAGCCTATCTACCAATTGGATCAAATATAAAAGTCAGCCGAATTAGTGTTGATACTGCAAGGAGACGTATTGTGTGAAAATAAATGTAAGATGTTGTTTAATGGCTGATATATTTATGATCCACGTCACGTTTTCAGTTCCTCATGTTTGTCTAGAAGTCTTCTCATCAGGGCTCTATAAATACAGAACTACGGCAGATATGTAATATTTAATGCAGCCGAACCGTGTATTACAATGCCGTTATGTGATGACTTCCAAAGAGAAAAGCAAGCACACTCGGAATAAAGTATTATTTTATTTTTTTAAAATGTTTTCGGTCTGTTTCCGTTATTTGTTAATGACGATGTGCTGTGAGATGTGAGACTGGAATTGCACAGGGGAAAATAACGTAGGTTATCTTTAGATGCGGATTTTGTTAAACTAATATGTTTGCGCTGTGGACCAACACTATACATTGACGGGGAAGGGGGTAGCAATAAAGATAACACCATTAAACAGTTACACAACATAACAGAAATAATATCGATAGCAGCGTCCCTAGCAACCACCTTGGTAACAATGAAAACGTTATGGACGCAATTTCCTGAAGTAATCTTCGTAATAACTAGCAAACTAAAGATCCTGTACATCCACTGCACACATAATCTGAAATAACAACTCATATTTCTCGCATCAAATGACATCAAAACGCATTTTAATGGCCAAACTAACTTTAAAATAGGCATTTTCCATCGAGAATAAAACGAAGTTCGGCCATGTTTTTTTTTTCTGCAGGGAGAAATTTGAAGATCACGTGACGTCAAACAGAGCACATGGTGTAGTCCAAACGATAGCTGGGGATTCTGGGTAGTGTAGTGTCTTCTGCCATCCTTTACTCTAAATATTTGTTTCTCCGAATCGAAGGGGAAAAATACAAAAGCATTGCACACAATTTAAACCAATCAATGTTGTGTAATTAACAAGGATAATCTGGTGTTTTTTAGTCGATGAGTAGTGCAGATATCACTGTAAAATCAATCGACAGTAAGGGGAATACTTACTTCCGGGTGTACAATTCTCCGTTATCCAATGAGAATGGACGCTCACATTGCCTTTAAGGGCAGCCGACACAAACGAATGCCGTGCTTCCATGAGCGTCCATAGAAGCAGTGCTGGAATTGGGCCGGTACTCACCAGTACGCAGTACCGGCACTTCTGGTTCTGACCCATGGAGTACCGGCACTTCTTGCTCAGTACCGGCATGCTGGCGGTACTCCGGTACTCATGCACCGTGCCAGTACTCAACACTCTCCCGCCGTTCTTATTATACATCCATATATATATATATACAGCCGCCCGGTACTCAGTAGATGCGTCATGAGGTGCCGAACGGACATTCTCATCGCTCTAACCGCTGGAGTTTCACAGCGGCTGTCAGCTGTTTACTCCTGTCATTCAAACAGAACGTGCTGGAGAGGGGGCGGGGCTTATCTTCTCCATGTAAATACTGTGGTGGAAACGACTATGTCAAAATTAACCTATTTGACCGTGATTTAATAGTAATACACGTTTCAAAATAATAATAATAATAATGCCGAAGTAACAACATACTGAAAACTGTTAGTAAAACCATGTTTTAATGCTTTACAATTTACATACCTAGATGCACGTGTGTTGTGTTTATGCAGTGCAACTCCCACCCAGTGGGTGGCTATGTAGAGTGATAGAACAGAGCAGGCACGCCCCCGAGAGAAGGAAAGCAAGTCACGTCACAAATTAGCATTTCTAAAATGTTAGCGTGGATTAATAAAAGTGCAAAAAGACAGCGGTTGTCGCCGGAAGAAATTTCAAATACAGAGAATGCTGTGCCTGTGTTGGAAATTGTGTCTGATGGGGAGCTTTCTTTGGTTGATCCTCCTGCTCCAAGTTCTAGTGCATTAGCATT